AAAATTTAGAACCGATTTTATAGTATGAGGCTAAAACAAAAAAAGAAATTCTGTGATTATAAAAACCAGCTTCCAATTCAAGATTCTCCTTACCCAAAACTTTCCAGGGCCAAAAGAAAATATATATATATTTTTTTATACCTCCCAACTCTTGACACAGTGAAGGAAAGCTAGAAGCAGCCAATGAAAAGAAAAGTGAACCTGGGCTCTACAAGAGCCACTGTACCTAGAAAATGAACACAGGGATGTCGTGCTTAAGGCACAAAACGGTGTACTTGAATGGCTCAGAAGCTAGTGGAAACAGCTGTACGAACAGCCATGCTCTAATACCTAAGACAGATTCTATGAGATTCAATTCTCCTATCTGTTCCACTAAAACATGATATATTACTTACAACTATAGGATGCATACCTTAACCTCCTTAGTTTCAAGCAACTCCAATGTGAATACACAAACCAATGGTAGGTTCTGCTGAGCAATGCAATTTAATGCCAAATATAGAGAACAAATTTGGTCCTGATAATTCTGCTCAAACAATACTTTGCTTAGATCACATGAATGTTATTGTTCTGGACCAGGTCTTTAACAAAATATAAAGATATCTATTGATTTTTGTAAAGGGCCCAGTACCTTCTGTGCAGGACTATCTCTGGTAGCATCAAGGCTCACATACACCGGATTCTGTGCCTGTATTTCCCAAGTTAGGTAGCTCATTAGAGACCTAAAATACAAAGTACATGCAACAAAACGCTCATCATTTCTGCCTCCTATACAAAATTTTTTCATTATGAGTGTGTCACATCAATTTAAAATTTTTGCTGTTTCCTTCTTTCATAAGTCAAATGTCATCAGGTGAAATCTGACAACAGTGATAATGCAATGCTGACAAAGATTGCAAAATATTGATGTGCTAGTATCATATTTCCCTTTTTTGTTGATGACCATAAATTTTGTACATTTAAAAATTGGAGGCAATATTTTGACAAATTTGTAAGTGCTATCAAATTTGATAAGCTAGCTTGATAAAGGACATTTTAAGCTGCTATGTATTTTTTCCAGGCACTGAACAGTTAGTTCATTGTTCCAAGTGTAACTGGAAGCCATTGCTGGGGTATTCTATACAATTTTAAAGAACCATCAGAAGCTCACACATGCCTTTGAGCATGCAGAACCAGGAGGCGGCACATCTAAACCACAAATGGAGAATATACTCCACATACACGCGTAAATTAAAACCTATAAAATAACATGGGCATTATAAAATTTGTGTTAAAACTGATAACAGCTTTACTGATTTACTGACAATGAAAATACATAGCATTTTTTTCTGTCAGAGCATTTATCAACACTTGGCAACACTGCACTAACTTGACATGTAAGATGATCAAAATGGATTATGTAATCTTTCCCATTCATTTCTATTGATTTTAGTTATGATAAAATTCATCAGAGTGCCTGGGGACGCTTAAGCTGAAAGGCTCTGGTTGATAAAAAAATAAAATTAAAAAAAAAAAAGAAAGGAAAAAAGGAATTCAACTGAGTTGTAACAGGATGAATGTAATTTTAGAATAGGATTGCACAAATACAGAAGTCATGCCCTAAAGGCTACAGCAACAAATTAATACAAATAACTCCAGCAGTCTCATAAAATTACATCTGTCTATGTAGATATTTCACTTTTGTGTCATTATAAACATAGTTTGTGAAAATATTTTCAAACTTTTTTTAAACTTCAACAGTAATCAAAGTTATTTGTCTGACTGCAAGTAACATCAAAATGCCAGCAAATGGACCATTTTAATCAGTTTTATTGATTCATGCTTCCAGTTCTTATTCAGTTAAAAACAAGGCACATTAAATACATCCTCTTATTGCTCTATAAATGCATGCAGCTCATTCTGTATATCAAAAGTAATAAATAATGGCGATAAAACACCAAGACAGTTATAAAAATGACAACCCAGCCTCAAACACAGTATTTAACAGTCCAATCTAGAACAATAACCCAACACAAAACATAAAAGTGTCACATATGAAAACATGCAGTGTGTATATCCACTCCAGCACTGGGCTTATATTTGATATTCTTTAAAAACATAGTAGGGTTTTTTTACGCCCTAAAAAAGGTTGACATAATGCAAAACAGTGCAAGTTATAGCATCATTGACTTCAACATTACATTCATACGCCAAAAATCATTACAGATACATAAAAAAGAAAAAAAAACAAAATCAATAATGACTCTTACAATATATTTGGTAAAAGTCATAATGAAATTTTTGTTGTACTAAAGAGAAAGCTACGTATTTTGAAACAGACAAAACAAAGCCAGAAACCAAAGCAGAATAGGGAGCATGCATTTAATAGCAGAAATTCTAAAGTTACACTCAGTATAAATTGATTGAAAGCAAGAATATCGCCAACAGCGTGATGGATAAGAGGCAGATAACCTTGGCTTAACAAATAATCCAGCATCATCAACATTGTTATGACCATGGTGGGGGCTATTTAAGGTAGCATTCAACTCTCCAGCACAGATGGGGGTTCCTTCACCTGAATCCCCTTAAAGGTTCTTGAAATAAATCATTTGATGATAAACGGCAATCTTCGCAACACCCACCCCCACTCCAACAGAAACAACTAATATCAAGTTTATATAAAAAGGAAAAAAATTCTTTTGTGCTTGGAAAGAGTTTTGAAGGGGCTTATTCCTCTATTTCTCTCACCCCGCCCCTTTCTGAAATCAAGTACAGTAGCTGTCAGGTTTAATTAAGAACTTATAAAAAAAATGCTGGGGTGCTTTATTCACAGTAATGCCTTGAAACCAGTTTATTCCAAATGGGTCTCCAGGATTGGTGAAGGACTGCATGTTTTAGAATTTAGCAGATTTTAAGCAAAAGCAGATATGCTCAAAAGAAGGAAAGTGTGCTTCTCTTTGTCCTTCAAAGAACTTCACTCATAGCAAAGCGTGCACAAACAAGGCCTGTTTAACAAACACAGATCTGCCCGGGCCAGTCACATTCTAAGCCCGTTCCCTACTGTAACTGAACCAGGGAGGATACAAGTCATCGTTATCTTGATCTAACTAGAAAGAGAGAAAGAAAGAGAGAGCACAAATATACAATATTGTGGTATATCATCTAGGATGTCTTAAAGGACAATTCATCTACCTATTGAGTGTCATCGGGTTCTAAACAGTGAAATTCATTGTCTTGATAGAAAAACACTAAATTGCAAAGCCACATTTATGTAAAAAAAAAAAAAAAAAGCCAGTGTAAAAATTCACACTTTGAAAGAAAAAAGTTCACAGTGACACCTGGGAGCATCACTTGCTCTTTTTAGGTTTTCCTTTAGGAAGTGGCAAGTATCTAAACTTCATTTAAAAACAAAATGAGTTAAGATTCCATCTTTCCCTGTGGTTTCTGTTTGTCTCAGAGGTGGTGGGTGGGGGCTTAGGTGAGTGAAACTCCAGTGTTTATATTGTGACATACAGGCTCATAACTCACTTGAATAAGGCATAAAGATATTCTACGATGTTGACATAAATAGAGATAACAGCACAAAAGTGTTTTATGTACCAGTTTAAAAAACTAAGACTTCAAGTCTGTGCAATAAAAACCTGCCGTGAAATAAAGTGTTACATTTCCTATTACGTTACAGACCCTGATCTTAAAAAACAAAAAAAGTGAGTAAGTCAGCTTCACAAGAGGAAGCACAATTATTAAATACTCAGATGACTAGTTGAAATGCAAAAGCATCCCGAACTGGCTTTTTAAATTCCACACATTACTTGCTAAATTCAATGCACACTGATTTTTGCTTTTGGGGTGTTTTTTTGGGGCAGAGGAAGTAATTCTTTCATTTTTATTTCTGGTTGACTGAGAATATTTCCATTGAATAACAGGAGGGGAAAGGCTTTAAACAATCACAACGACCTTGGATACTGAACTGTCTTATTTTGCATACAATTATTATTAAAGTTAACTGAAGTCTATTCTATCCTCTTTTACTACATTTGCAAATACCCCAAAAAAGTGATAGGCCAGGTTTGACACCACTGCAAGCTCTAACATTTCGGATTTGGGGATCGAAACTTGTGTTAACATACGTAGATATACAAACACATGTTCTTAACCCTTAAATGTATTATTACTGTAAAGACTGGAGAAATTTGGTCTCATCCCATTACATCCAACTTGCCACTTCAATGCTGGTTTTAAAGTAAGAAAAGTAGGGATCTTCCTGGCAACAATGACAGTCAAAGAAAACCAGCAGTGACTGAGGAAAAAAATGAACTGCTGAGATGAAACTATCACTGTAACTTCCAGCAAATGTCAATGCTATCCTTATCTTATACCTGTGATTCTGGAAGCTTTCAGAGTTTCTTTTTGAGACTTGCTCCTGTAACCAGACCTAAACTTCTTCTTCTCTCTCCAGTTTGCCAGTCATGCTCTAGATATAAAATTGTGCAATATTGTTCGGATGAGGAAGATAGACAAGCTGGAGGAAGAAGGGGCTGAAAAGTCTCCAGAAACACTGTATCATTTCAATAGGTCACTCTCTTTAATAAATGCCATCTATAAGCTTAATCTCCAGAGCTTTGTGCATGTCACAAAATTTCTGTAGCTTCTTTTTTCAATTGTTGCCAAAATATTCTGCCTTTAGAATTGATTTAGAATAAATGAATAATTAAAAAGAAGAGCATGTCAAGTCTAACAGGTCACAAAATCCATGTAAAATGTTAAATCAATGTGCATTGAAAATGAGGAAAAAGGATAAAATACACTATTTAGAAGCGAGATTGAATGACAAATACAGATAAAATATCAGCATATAAAGTTGGCAAATACACCAACATCCTAAAGGTTTGGAATGTTTTCCAGTGTTAAAAAAGGCAGCTATTCATATTCACTATTTTAGAGTGGTTTAAGTCATCTCTGGTTGTTACATGGTGATTTGTTGTTCCTATGTTTGTTGGCTGTGGATTTACTGCTCAGACTCACAATCCTCCACAACTACGGTCCACTGGAATTGGAACTCTTCTATCAAGGTTCTCTTCTGCAGTTTTCATTAGTATAGCAAGCCGGCTTCCAGACACCCTTCCTTTCTGAATAGCACTCATCAGCTTAAAGAGAAAATACACAACAGATTCAGAAGACAGGACAGCTTACTTCCTTCTTCATAGCATTTTAATGGTTACCATTACAGTGGACGCAGGTAATTAAGTGCTTCATCAAAAACCATCACAAGTACTACAACTCAAATAAGAACAGTACACTTTTTACACATTTCAAAAAGAGGGGAAGGAGCAGGTATTTCACCACTGCTGCAAAAGTCACATCTATCTAGCAAATCAGCCTGCCTTTAAAAGCAAATCTTAATGCATCATTTTTTGTCCCTTAATGTGCTCAGGGCATTTTTTTTTTTTTTTTTTAGCAACTTCAAATATTGGCTCTTTAATTCCATGTAAAAAT